GGCCTCCAGGTTTCCCGGCTCAGCACGTTCCCCCTCGGCCCCGGCTGCCCCGATATTAATAGCCCTGCATTGGCGCATCTAGCTGTCCTGGAACCCCTCCCCATGCTCTAGTTTCTTCCTTCTTCACCACAGAAAACATTCAGAAAAGTCTGGCGCCTTGATGTTTCTGACCGTGAAATGGCGATAGGCTCCCTTTTCCCTCCTGACGCGGGAAGGGAGCCAGGTGGAGGCGCAAAGGGCAGCTTCTAGGGCTGCCTTACAGCCGCTATTATTATCATCTCGGCTGTACATGCGAGGAAACAGACTCAGAGAGGGCCCGCGGCTTTCCCAAGGTCACACAGCGCCCAGCCGGTGGAGCCGGAGCGAGAACTCCGGAACTCAGCCCCGGGATCCACCCCTGCGTCCCTGCACTCCCTGGACGCCAGGGCGAACTCCTCCCTGGTCCTGACCAGGGAGCCCTCGCCCCCATCCGGCCCCTCCCTCTTCCCCCATATTTAGCGCGAATCCGATCCGGGGTTGGGCCGGTCGCTACTTAACGCGGTCCCCGGGTTCTGAAGCGCGCCGAGCGGAGCGGAGCCAGGAGCCTACCGAGATGATGATGGTCCTGCAGCCCGAGAGTCTGGGGGTCGGGGCAGCGCCCTTCGCGGGGGGCGGCGGGGGCGGCGAGTACATGGAACAGGAGGAGGACTGGGATCGCGACCTGCTGCTGGACCCGGCCTGGGAGAAGCAGCAGCGGAAAGTGAGTGCTCGCCCATTTCCAGATGGTAAAACTGAGGCCTGAGAAGCCGGGAGGTTTGTCCTTGGCATCTCAGCAGGTCAGGCGCGGAGTGTCTGAACCTAGAGTGCCACTACCTAGCCCAGGCTCTGCCCATCAGTCCTCTGCTGCGCCGCAGGGCTGAAGGAGAGGGCTGGGAGCCCTCATGAAGGGTTTAGGAAGACAAGGAGGGTTTCTGGGGTCCCCACCGCGAACTTGCAGCTTGGCAACTAGTGGACTTGGGAGTTCGGGGGAAGGGGGAACCATCCCACACCCCTTCCCACTCCCTCCTCTGTATTTTTTGCTTGGGGCATTCATAGTCACTCTACCTCAGTTGTCAAATGAGGAAACAGATCTAGAAAGGGGCAGAGATAGAACCCAAATCATATGCCCAGAAAACAGGAACCCCCAACATGATGGTTTGTGCCCCTTGCTTGCCCCACCCCCACTCATTCCCAAGATATCCCTTCCTGCTCCAAGGGCCCGGCCTCGGCAGAGTCTGCTGAAAAGGCCACAAGACCTGGGAGGAGGGGAGCTCTGGGTCCCCTTTCGTAGTAACCTGACTCCCCGGCCAGATGGACACTTTGTGCTGAGGCAGCGCCTTTGGAGAGCTAGAGAGGGGTACAGGGGCAGCTGCTGCCCAGGCCCAGCCTAGTAGGGCACTTGGTCCCCTCCTGCCTGATCCATTTTCACTCTCAGACTTTCCTAAGTGGAGGGGGCAGGACACCTGGGTTCCCAAAAGAGAAAATGATCTGGGCTGAGTGAGGAAACTTTGAGGAGTGGCAGGCCAGGAGTAGGGAGGACACCATGAGGTCACTGGGCTCTGCTCAGCATTTGCCAGCAGTGTCCCACTCCAGGAAAGGCAGGACACAAGGGAACTCAGTGAAATTTGGAGGACCTGAGAATCCCAAGATTTAGAAGCAGAGCATTTCCGCTGGGTTAGGTGATGGGAGATGACGCCAGGGGCTGCGAGGCTCAGCTGACTCGGCAGGGATGCCTCAGAGGAGCTGCCTCCCCTGCCTCCTCCTGCACCTGTCTCCAAGCAGGGCTATGGTCCCTGGGTCCGGCAAACTCCTAGTGATGTCATCCCAGCTGCCACTGTTCTGCAACAACTCCTATTCCCAAACCCACCCACATAGTCCTCTCCCAGATGAGGTCTACATGCCTGTCATAAGACACATACTAGTATGTGACTTACCTTAGTCACTTAACAAATTATTCCAACTCAGTTTACAGCCACCCACCTCATCCATTCATTCAACAGCTGCATGGATAAATTAAGCAGCATTCCCTAGAGTTGGACATTCTGGTCATTTCTTTCTCATCCATCATTGTTCATTAAACTGCAATGAATATCTCTGTGCTCAGCCTCAGCCCCTGCTTCTCCTCTGTATCTTGGAGCTTTCCCACCTCCTTCCACCTGATGTCTGAGTCCTCTTCGTTCACCCTCATTCAGAAGCATTCATTCAGTATTCATTAAGGAGGTCCTGCTATGGCCAGGCACTGTTTAGGTGCCAGGAATTCAGCAGTGGATGAAATAAAGAGACCTTGCCTCAGGGGGCTTCTATTCCAGCAAGGACAGATATCCATCACCCACCCAATCCCACCCTATTCCCCACATTGACACCCATCCTCACCTGCCTGGTCCAGTCACCACCCTCTCAATCCTCCCTTCTGCTCTACCAAGCCCTTTACCTCCCCTCTGCAACCAGAAGGAGCTTTCTAACAGTGTTCTGCCCACCTCCCTCCTCTGCTTGAAAGCTTCCCTGACTCCCTGTTGCTCTCAGGATCAAGTTCAAACTCCCAGCCGCGGCTTAGCACCCAAGATCGTGCATGATCTGGCCCCAGCTGCCCCTCCGGCCTGCCTCTCACCACTTATACCCTAACACCCCAGCTTCAGTCCAGCTGTGCCCACATAGTTGTACCCCACAAACCTAGCAACTGCTCCTCCCTCCCAAGCATTTGCCTGCCTGGCTGCCCCTGCCTGGAATGCCCCTGCGGGCTCTTCTCTGCCTGAGTAACTCTTGCTCTTCCCTCAGAGCTTAACCTTCCCCCAGAGCCTCCTCCCCGCTTTGGAGAACTCCTTCCCTCTTCTCCCTGATGCTAGCCTCTTCCAGAACTTCTCAGGTCAACATGACTGTTTGACTGTGAGGTCCTTCAGGAAAGGGACCACATCTCATGAAGAGCCCTGTTTGTCCAACGGGGAGCCTTGGAATCCTCACACAGACCTGCCTCTCCGTCTGCCCTATGGAGACTCAGAGCATCCCAGACTCCAGGGTTGGAAAGAACTACAGAGAATTCAGCTGCCCTGTCCTGTGCTCGAAGTGCCATTGAGTAGTGCTCAGCAGTCACTCACACACCACCAGTGACAGAGAGCTCACCCACCCTTTCCCATAGCAATGACAGCCTCTCAGCTATTCAAAGCACTGTCTTCCATGTCCACCTTCTACGGCATCTGAAAAGCTGGTCTGAGGAAGGGAAGCAGCCTGAGGGAAGGAATTCCAAGTGACTTCCAGGACCGCCTATCCCAGGATTTCCACTTTGTGTTGGGGGAATGCTCTGAATCTCTAGAATCCTACCAGATTGGAGAAGAAGGACCTAAGTATCAGAGAGTCTGGCCCCTAAACTGTAAAAAAAAAGAGAGCAAGGGGCACACCACAGGTCACAGATAGCAGGTCACTCAGCTGGGATTGGAGCATAAGTATGGACTCTACCAGGGACTCTACAGTTGATGGCCACATCCAGGGCCTGAAGGCTTGGTAGGTTAGTGGAAACTTGTGCACCAGGATTCAGGTCACCCCATCCCCAGTATACACACAGCTGTGTACCAGCCCACCCATCCCACGTGGCGGCTGAGGCAGAGGCTACTTTGGGGTAAAGAGGAAAGCAGTTCCCCCAGAAACTAGGTCAGACTGGGCCTGAGTGCCTGGCTGATCTCCTTGGCCTGCAGAGCTCAAGCAACCTCGAGGTCTACTTGGAGGCCAGTTCACCATAGCCCTGGGAGATCAGTGGGGCTGAGATAACAGTAATACAGATGCACAGTCCCTTGGGCAAAGCCCTCAGAGCCAGATGTGCTTCAATCCAGAATTTCCAGACTAGAAAAATCAAACTGCATTGGCT